CCAGCACTTGGTTGAGGCGAGTATCAGAGCAGGCCAGTTTTGACAGCGGTGGCCAGTTGCAGAAGAAGCGGTCAATGACGTTGGGGCCGCAGAAGGACACTCTCAGCGCAAACCCCGTGAACACCGAGTTCAAAAACCCAACCGCGTAGGACCCAGCCAAGAGGGAAACGCAGACCTTCTGGGACATGACAACGGGGTAGCGCAGCGGGTTGCAGCTGGCGACATAGCGATCGTACGCCATCACGGCCAGGAGGTAACACTCCACGGTTACAAAAGTAGCGTAGAAATACAGCTGTATGAAACAGCCAGCAAAAGAAATAGTCTTCCTTTCCAATGAGAGGTTCAGCAGCATGTTGGGTGTCACAACTGAGGAGTAGCACAGGTCCAAGAAGGACAAGTTGCTGAGAAAGAAGTACATGGGGGTTTGAAGCTGGGAATCGAGACAGACTACGGCAATGATGCCAAGGTTTCCCACCACGGTGATGACATAGGTGGGCAGGAAAACCACGAAAAGGGTAACTTGGAGGTCGAGGTGATCCATGAAGCCCTTGAAAACAAATTCTGTCACTGTAGTCCAGTTTTCCCAAGCCATCCGTGTGCAGGAGACTCCCAGCTCCCAGGCAGGGAGGCAATTTCCATGAGACCAGTTATGATGACTTAATCCCTTGCTTAATTATTAGTGGGTTTTAACCCTGTGCTCTATAGGTAATGAAGACCTTTTCTAATGAAACACTGCCAGACACCCTGGCAGGATGCTTAGTTGGTCCACAACCACCCGGCCATGCAGGGACCCACGTCTCCTGACTACACCTGCCATTTAAGCTCTTAAACCAAGCTTTGAATATATCTTCTACCTTCATGTGCTGATCTCAAGGAAAGAAGTATGAAACCAACGAAGCAAGTTCTCCCTTGGACATCACCGTGGTCTTCACTAGGCCCATTGTCTCCATCTGTCTGCAGTTTTCGCCACATTAAGGGAAGAGCAGCTCACATTCACTAATGTTTGTTCTGATAATACATGAGCTAGAGGAATATTAGCGTTCACTCCGCTTTTCAGGTTGACGATGTCCCAGAGACTCTTTTTATTATCCCAGGTAGCTCAGGGTTTGAACTTGTTGCTCAGGGCTTCTTATTCTAAGTGCTGATAAACAAAAATAATGTGGGTGGTTTTTTTTTTTTTAAATAGGTGATTGCTAACAAAGTTAGTGGCAACTTTGGGAAATAAACTGCATTTCAATAACTGCTCTCATCTCATGAGCATAAATACACGGACAGAAGGGCATATGCACGTATCTTCCCTTTTCCAATACCTTCCAGCTTAGCTGGTGGCTTGCTAGAAATAAAGGGAACAGCACAATTTTTATCATTTAACTTATATTTTAAGCAAACAGTAACTTCCCAAGTACTTTCAAGCAACTGATTAACATGCCAAATTAAGGTTAGAAAGTAAAACTTCCTTTTAGAAAAAAGTTGTAACATAACGATGTGTCTGAAACAGTTGAGAGCAGTTTAAACGTAGCTCCCCTTTCTCTGTAAGAAAGCCTCAGTTTGCCCTCGTACCAGGCTGCAGCATACTTCAACTTCTTTTTTTATTCCCTAGTCCAGTCCTCCGCTTCACCCTGAAGACGCTCGCTGCCCTGTGTTCTCGCTTGCCACCAATTCCACCGCTATCCCCCAAAAAAGGACCCGAGTCACCACCTCTTCTGGTTTCCTGGAGAAGATCCAGCCTTTTTTCAGTCTGAACTACTTTTGTGCCTGCCTCTGTTATTAGTTTCTCAAGGAGATCATTCACAATCTGCACCTTTTTATTTCTGAGGAAAACTAGAAAAGTAACAATACAGAAAATTAGACACTATCCTAGTAAATTCACTTGAAAGTGTGTGTGCTCATCTCGTAATAGGATAAAATAATTAATATGTCCCCAAAAAAAGGATTGTGCCTGGGGAGAGGGCAAACACATAAGACATACTAAAGATTTCTTCTGTACCTGTGTATATTTGTCCCAGTAGAACTCTTACCAGTAGGCAAGGATATGTTTTCAAAGAGAAATGGCAATTTTTGCTCTTGAGACAATTGCTGCTACGTTTCTTTGGCATTGCCTCGAATCAGAGCTTTCTTACCTGTCTGCATGACTATTGCACAGCATCATCACTGAGTAAGGAAAACCTTATTTTTCCACCTTCTAGCTTGCTTTATAAACCAGAGCTTCAGGCGAGCAATTTTTTCCGAGTCTCCTTTTCTTCTCCTGTTTTTTAATTCTACATGGTGCTGGATGCCCATGTATGGCTGTGTCTCCCAGAGGCTCTCGTCTTCACTATTTATCGCTTTCCAGCTTAGATGGTTGGGATAAGCTGCCAACAGCCTCATTGGGCACGTCACCCCATGCCAATCACTCTTGCTTTTTCGCCCCTTCGGATATAATTGGAAAGTTCCCTTAGTGATTTCAAGAGTTAGAGGTCTGGAGCTATTACCTCCTTAACCCTTGAGATGGGTTGTCTTCTGGGAGCCAGAATACGCCAAGAGCAGAAACTGCTACGAGGTTATTGAGAAACAGCGTCTCCTAGAGACAGCACCTTGCAGCTATGGAAACACTCGAGCTGGAAAGGTTTACCAATCTTCGCTAAGCCTTGAAAATCGTAAAGAATAGTCTACCCATTTCCAAAACAAAATGTTGCCAACCTACTGAAGGCCGTAATCGTGTATCAAATTAGGAAATGGAGGAGGTACTAAGGACCAGAGAATAATACTTGAATATAATGTCAATTTTTTTACTCTATTTCCCTCGCTGAGAATACTGTCTCCCATGGTACCCATGGAGGGACATGGCCTGGATGGAGAGAGGCTGCCAGAGGAGCGAGCACTGGCTGGGCTGTTGGGTGCAGAGGGTGATGGGTGGTGGGTTGTGCTCTGCCTGGAGGCTGGGGAGTGCCACAGGGGTTTGTCCTCTTTAATCTCCTTAAATAGAGCCAAGGGGGACACCATGGTGTGCAGGGGACCATCCCACAGTACCTGGGCAAGGCAAGTAGAGTAGACCCAGAGACCTGGGCCAAATTCAGCCAAGACTCCAGACCATCGGGCAAGTTGGTGATGATGAGGCAGGTCCAAGGTCAAGCCAAGTCAATCCCCTGGTCAGGGTCGGGTCCAGCAATTGCTAGGCAGGTCCACGATCAAGCAAAGGTGCAGAACAAAGGAGTCCATAGGTGTGCACACCTGCTGCCAAACTGGAAGCCAGCACCCCTCTAGCATAACCCAAGAGAGGAGCAAGCTCCCTGGGTGGAGCTTAAATAGAGCTCATGGGCAAATGGGCAGAGGGTGGGGATGGAGGCCCCAGGTGAGGCTGGTCAGGGCCATTAAGGCCTCTCAGTTGACTCTGGGAGAGATTAATCACTGTCTGAAAATGCCCATTTCTCACCATTTAATATAGTGGAAGCCCAGAGTCACCAGCTCAGGTGTGGACAGCCGTGCCATAGGTACCGAAATGTGGATAATCCCACCCTTGCTGGAAAACTGGGCTGTCTAGTGTCCACAGAGGGACATCAGCAGCTCCAGAGACGGAGTCAGTTGTGCTTCATGAACCATTTGGGGATCCTCTGAAAGATCTGAAATGTCTCTAAACTCATTTTCATTCCGTCGGCAAGGTCAGACCGAAACCTTTGCATGGTCCACAAGTACCTCAGAAGCATCACAGGAGCTGGTCATCACTGCCGCCGTGTATCTGTGCTCAGCGGTGGCTCATCCATCCACGTGATGTCTTTCAGACACCCGAAGCAGCACAGTGGCTTTCAGAATCGCATTTCACCCTTTTTTTTTTTCCTTTTCTTTTTTTTTTTTCCCCTCTGGTAAACCCTGCCAGGAAGAGCCCTGGGGGCTTTCTCCCAGGAGAACACGAGGGACCGTTTTTAGAGCCCCGTCACCCACAGGCTCAGCTCTCGGAGGCTGGGAAGGAGCACGTCTCTCGTCACATCAGGCGGTTAATAGGGGTTATGCAGACGCATAGACGTTCTCTGCTGCATTTGGGACAAGCCCTTGGCTCCCATCACTCCATAGCAGCGAAGGCACAGGAGGAGCCGTAACGCCAAGACAAAGCAGAGCCTCGCCTACGTTTAGGCAGTGGGCTTTCTTCTTCATGTCCTCTTTTTTTGGGCTCTGTCGGGAAACAGCCTTACAAAGTAGGTTTTCTTCATAATAAGAGGGAGTAATGGCTTATGCAAATTGCTTTTCTTTTACTTAGGCAGCTAAAGCAAGAGGAACTGATTTATGCAAGTGCTAAATAAGGACGAGTCTTATTTCGTTATAAAGAAATGCAACATTTCAAACCGTCAGCAGAATATAGTCATTAACAAAACAGCCTTTGGAATCAGCACGTTTTAAAATTAACTCAGTTTTCAAGTAAGCGTCTTAATGCCCACGGTTTTAGGATGCCTCAGCGTGCTGGAGCTCATAAAGGTATAAATCATGAATTTACCAATGTGAATTTTATCCATTGTGAATGATACATAATAATTTGATAAATGTGATTTGAAGACTGGAGTAATAATCAAAAGCCAAAGGAAAATGTCTGGAGGTCGTTAATGTCGTGTAATCTGTGATTTCACTGGGACTGTGACTTTCTCTTGCTCCAGGTTTACGTGCACTCCTATGAGGTTCCCCTGAGGTGTCTTCCGAAACAAATTTCTTTCGAACTGAAAGTGAAGAAAGATCTGATTCTTTTCTTAAATCTGAAAACACACGTGCTAGAATAAATCTATAGTTTTAAGCATCCAAGCAGAAAAACAAAATTGCCATTCGTATTGCTTCAACTCACTCCCTGTTCTCTTCTAAGTACCTCAACTGAAAAACAAAAAACATATACAGTTTGGGTTTAGAAAATAGAGTAGATTATACCAAAATGTGGCAGTTAAACTGGTGATTGATTGGAGTGGAATATGGCCCAAAAGTGAAACGATTTTTTATAATTTTGATATTTTTCTTCCTTTTGGCTCAGCAGGTAACATCTGGTCATGGGAGGAAATCACGTGCAGACTAAATTCATCCTCTTGGGAATTACAGACCGTCCATGTGTGCAGGCCCCTCTTTTTGGGTTGTTTCTATTGATTTACATTGTCACTGTGGTGGGGAACGTTGGGATTATGGTCTTGGTTTGGGTGGTTCCCAGCCTCCACACCCCCATGTACTTCTTCCTCACCCATTTTTCATTCGCTGACGTCTGCTATTCCACAGTCATTTCCCCCAAAATGCTAGCAGACCTGTTATCAGAGAATAAAACCATTTCTTTCGCTGGCTGCGTGACGCAGTTCCATGGCTTTGCTTTCTTTGCGACTGCCGAGTGTCACCTCCTGGCTGTGATGGCCTATGACCGGCATGTTGCTATCTGCAACCCCCTGCTTTACGTGACGGTCATCTCCAGCCGCATCTGCCGGCAGCTGGTAGCATCGTCCTACCTCATCGCCTTTCTCAGTGCCATCATCTACACAGGCTGCACGTTTGGGGGTTCCTTCTGTGGACCCAACCAGATCGACCACTTCTTCTGCGACGTCAGCCCCGTGCTGAAGCTTGCCTGCTCCGACACCCGCAGCAGCGAGATGGTCATCTTTGCCTTTGTCGCCATAAACGCGGTGGGCACGAGCGTGATCATTTCGCTTTCCTACATCTGTATCCTCCGCACAGTCCTGAGGATGCGCTCGGCACGGAGCAGGTCCAGAGCCTTCAACACCTGCGCCTCCCACTTGACGGCTGTCTCCTTATTCTACGGGACAATATTCTTCACGTACCTACAACCTGCGTCTAGCCACAGCAGCCTGGATAAGGTGGCCTCCATCTTCTACACCGTGGTCACCCCCATGCTCAACCCATTCATCTACAGCCTGAGGAACAAGGAGGTGAAGGGCGCTCTGGTGAAGTGCAGGAGAAGGGTGTTAAACCGCTGTCAACATAGAAGAGCTGTATCAGCTAGGCAGTGAACAGTTTATCTTACGCGAGAAAGCCTGTGATGCATTAAAACAATTGAATTTTTCCCTAATCCTCACAATTTTATGTAGGTTCTTCCACAGTTTCTGCACAAAAGTCAGTTACAGTATTTAGCCCTGAGAAATAGACCCCGCGAGCATACCTTCCTTGGGAGGCAACCAGGAGGAGCGGGAGCCTCAAACTTTATTTCACTTTGCAGTCAGCAGTCTGTAGGAAGAACTCACCCTGAATTATTCCCGGCTTCTCTTCCTCACAGGAAGCACGAATCATAGTTTTATTGATTTATAACTTTTCTTCACTGATAAATATGTATTTTTCTTGCAAGATTGTTGACCTTATCCCTAAACTCCAATAAAATTCCTCACTGTTACCTGCAAGTTATTTATTAGAGTCAAGCTGCTGGGGTGGGAGGGAACCTTTTGGAAGAGTAAGTGTGTTATAAAATTTGCTTGCCGAAAAAAGGTAAGATAAAAGGCTTGAAAAGATACAGTGCATTTGTTTCTGACTTAAAAAGTGAAAAAGCTGGCGGGAGTCAGGATCTCAAGCTATATCTTTGAATACCCAGGGGCATCCCTCCCCAGGCTGCACACTTCGGCATGCGTCTTCACTTAAGGGAAGAAAGTGTAGGCAATATAATTAAAAATACAGGACGACGAACCCTGCTGAGGCTGCCCGGTGTTAAGGGCAATTTCTGCGCAGCGATTGCGTCAAGGGGGCCCGCCGTTCATTTCAAACGGTGTTTTACATTCATCTTAAGTGCCGTCTACTTAAGTGGTGAGACAAATGGAATAGCACCTGGAGCTATGTACCAGTGTCCCATGATATGTCCCATCACGTCCAAATGCCCGGCTCATGATAAAGCACGCCATGAAAACCAAATGGCGTATTTCATTTAAAAATTAAGCGTGTGTCTAGTTTCCATAGGTGAAGGACAATCCTGAACACGTAATCTGTGGGTAGCTGATAGCTGTCAGGGTCTGAAAAAAGCCCAAACCCAGCAGTTCTGCAAATTATGGCTCCTTAAAGAAGGGGGGACACAAAGCACGGTACAGGAATGGCCGCGACACTGGGGAGGGACCAGCAATCCTTCCTCTTTCCCTGGCAGGCACGTAAGAGAAAAAGCGTCCTAATTTCTGCTCATCCTAATTAATTCCAAAGGACATTTGTCGTTTCTTGAGTGCGCGCTCATAAGCATTTGTGTTTGGGTGCAATTCTGCAACTTCCTTGCAAAATTCGGCAAAATTCAGGTTGGCTGGATAAGTTCAGCATAGGGTCTTCCTCCTTCTCACACACTTGATTTTGGTTGCCCCTTGGCTGTTGATGCCGCTCGGACACCTTCGGGTGGTGTGATGAGTTCTGACTCCGCAGAGTCATAGACCCGCCTGCCTTGTCTGCAGCAGGGAAATGCTGCAGCAGAAAAAATACCTTTCCCTTAGCCCTTGTGGGTAGCGTGGGAATTAGCTTATATTTGGAAAGGAGATGGATGGTGGACTGTCGCTTTTGTGTGCTCTGGCAACCAGCAGTGGGAGAGGAGACATTGCCTTAGGTCTGGGGGAAAAGTGGCTTCCACCTGCAGCTGAATGAAGGATATCATTAAAAGCTCAAGAGCTTGGCAGGACAGAGACTTTTGATATCAGATGGCTTCTTTCTTTTAAAACCTTCACCACACCTTGTTATTCTTCCTTCTAGTTTGTTGGATAATTTTGCTTATAGCATACATAGAACCATAGAAAGCCCCGGCTGGACCTCGAAAGATCATCTGGTCCGACCTTTCTTGAGAAGGTCTATGTACAATCTCTCTATACATATAAATATGTGACAGGAATATTAAAATAAAATAAAATAAAATAAAATAAAATTAAAATAAAATACAATACAATAAAATACAATTAAATTAAATTAAATTAAATTTAAAAATATAAAACCAGTTCTACAAGTAGAGCGGCTCACAAAGGCCTGGACAGATTGCGTGGATCCATCTCATAATCCTAGCTATCCATAAAATGCACACATGCACGCGGATCTCCATTGCTAGGAGGCGGACGGGCATTTCTGGGGTGTGATCCGTGTGATTTGCTTTTGAGACTGGTCTTGCAACAAAGTGAATTCCATACGGAGGTGCCTATTTCTTGGGGGGTGTGAGAAAATACCAACTGGGTGGAAAATTTACTTGAGCAAGAACGTTGTTTTTCCCAACTTTAAAGTTGTTTATTTGTATTTTTTACCTGAAGTTATTTGTTTCTTAATACTACGACGGAGAGGCCTTCAGGGTATCAGTACCAATCCCCTTTCCATAACTTCTTGGTGTATTATACAGAAAGTTTATTTCTTAATAGGCTTTAAAGGGCTGGGAAATACAGCATCAGTGGTTCAATAAATGGTGAAACAGTTGTTATTGACCCAACGTGTGATTAAGTTATTTACATTTGCACACCATCTGAGAAGCAGCTTTAGGAACAGCAAAGGCGAGGCTCAAATCGCCCAGAGGTTTCCAGGGAAATTAGCATCAACGCTCACTGTGACATCTGGAAGGACCAAACCCCTTGAACTCAACCTGCCACTTCCCTTGCAGGAACCAAGTTTTTGGTGAAAAAGCCTTATTTGAGTGCCAAGCCACAGGTAACAGCTTGAGAAGCTACAGTGAAGAATTGTGTGATTGAGTTATTAACTGATTATATCATGTCCTGTAGTCCTTCAGGTCTATCCCATTCCCACTCAGCCCTGTAGGCACTGGGTTTCAGAGAGACACTCCATAGAAAAAGGGTTTCTGACTCTTCTTCTGGGTTCTCTTCTGAACCTTAGCAGTCCGGAAACCTGTCCGGTGCAATCCAGGCTTTCTTTGTAGCTGCTGAACAGAGAAATGAGACGAACAGGATGAATCAAGCTGTGTGGAGGGGCTGCTCACTGCTCATTGACCATTGATGGCGCATGAGGTTGGGCTTCAACTCGCCCAACTTCAGCTGTGCAGAAGTTACGTGTCTAATCTGTGTCAGTGACAGTCACCTGACTTCTCCCTGTAATTAAAGGAGATAAATTGCAAAGAAATTACCCTCAATACACCTTCGTACAGACTTCAGTGCAATTTTGAGTCCCGCTCAATAACAACAATAAGGAAATACTCTCCTGGTCACCAGCTTCCTTCGCTTACTGCCTTCTCCCAACCGCTCTTCTCAGGGCAGCCTTCACCTCACTGTTCCTCAGGCTGTAGACCAAGGGGTTCAGCGTGGGGGTCATGATGGTGTAAAACAGCGTGGCCGTCTTGTTCTCATCCAACGCATAGGTGGAGCTGGGGCGCAGGTACATGAACAAGATTGCCCCGTAAAACATGGTGACGACCGTCAGGTGGGAGGCGCAGGTGGAGAAGGCTTTTCTCCTGCCCTCCGGAGAGCGGATCCTCAGGACAGTGGGGAGGATATAAGTATAGGAGACAAAGATGATGGTCATGGTGCTGAGACAGTTTATGCTGACGAGAGCAAGGACAACCACCTCGTAGGTGTGGGTGTCGGAGCAGGAGAGAGCTAAGAGCGGGGCAATGTCGCAGAAGTAGTGGTTGATAACATTGGAGCGGCAGAAGGAGAAAGTAAAGATGAAAGCGGTGTGTGTCACCGCGTGCAAGATGCCGATGGCGTAGGAACCAGCGACGAGCCACCGACACGTCCATCCGCTCATGATGGCAGGGTACAGGAGGGGTTTGCAGATGGCCACATACCTGTCGTAGGCCATCACGGCCAGCAAGAGGCACTCAGTGACCCCAAAAACAACGAAGCAGCAGAGCTGGGCTGCGCACCCCGAGAAGCCAATGGTTTTCTCCTCTGTCAAGACCTGCACCAGCATTTTGGGGAGGATGATGGAGGAATAGCAGATATCAACAAAAGCCAAGTGGCCGAGGAAGTAGTACATGGGGGTGTGAAGGTGAAGATCGGTCCTGATTAATATAATTATCCCAAAGTTCCCCAAGAGAGTCACCAGGTACATGGCCAGGAAAGCCAAGAAAAGGGGGACCAGGAGATCTGGGCGGGTGGTCAGCCCCAAGAGAACGAACTCATGCAAACCAGTGTGATTGACAGGTGTCATTCTCTGTAACGCATTCAACCTGTGGGAGATAGGTAAAGTGATAGACAATGATTTGGGCAGCTCAGCAGGACCCTCAGCTTCCTCGGTGTCACCGAAGGGAGGCAGAGCACTTCCTACGGGAGGGTCATGAAATGTCAGCTGGACTCTGGATCACCCTCGCAAGAGCCAAGCCTCCGTCCAGAGGCTCTGAAAGGATCCTAAAACCAAAACCTACTCGTCAAGCTGAACAGTGAGAATGCCCACCTGGGTTTAGCTCAGCATTTCATCTCCTACGCAGCTTCCTTATCTGTGCCTTCCTGGGGAAATTCAGCACAGGGGGAAAGTCAATACACTGGGCATTTTTTAGTAATATTTTAAATTAAGATATTTAATGCATTTTGTTTTTTCCTTAGGAAACGACAGGTACATTTTGAAAAGAGACGTTTTTTTAAAAATAAAACAACATGGAACAATTCAACTTGCAGAAATCGCAGAATTACTTGTTGATTTTGCAAAGCAAAACAGAGCAAAAGTGTGCATTTTTCTTTCAAAACTGATACGAACACACAGTTTTCAGCATACACAGGCTTGACAACCCCATAGGAAAGGAAATTCGCGGTGGCACAGTGGCAACGGGGAGACTAACTTGGATGCAGAGCCGAGGCCACACAAGCAAACACAGGAGGAGCTGAGCAGGGCAGGGAGAGGAGGTAATACAGCCTGTGCTGTAGGCATCGAGCACCCTCTTGCCTTGGTCACCAGGGCCATCCCTTGCCATTACAGTGGCACCTATGCAAAGACCGAACACCTACATGTCTCCTTGTTTTATGTCATCTAAACTTTAAAGCAGAAGAATCCTCCTCCCATGTAGGATTCCTTCTGCTGTTCTCAGTCTCGTTGCTATAAACGAGATATCTTACACCTCTGGTCCTTTCTTTCCTCTATCTCACCGCCTTCAAGTCCATCAGACAGAAAGAAAGGGGTGCTTACTTGAGCCCCATGATGTCCCTTCATGTCCCACGGCTTCAGAGCAGGTTCAGGGCTGAGGACTGGCCAGAATAGAAGATGCCCTCACCTTGGACATGACTACTCCAAGAAAACTCAGATCTTCAGTGCTGGTCCATGCAGCTCCTTCAGCGACTGGGATGAGTTTGGCTGCTCCTCCAGACAATATGACCGAGGCCATAATTCATCTTCAAGCAAATGCTGAGAGTGCTTTTCAGAACTCTTTCCTTAAAAGCAGCACTGAGGATGACTTGTTGCTGCAACTTCCAGAGGGCAGGCAAGCCCTCTCTGTACTTTTTAGTGTCCAAGTGGTATTTATACTCATTTCTGTGACCTTGGAGGCGTTTCAGTCCATGGAGAATAGAAACTTGACAACAAGCAAAATCCACCCGGAATATAAATCTTCATCTCCAGGCTCACTAATGAAGCCCAGGAACAATTTGCTTTGAACATCTGGATTTAAGAAGATGTCTTCCCCTCCTCTCCCATGCCGAGGAGAGGGAGTGGATGAAAAGCGAACGTCTACATGATTCACCAAAAGCAAATCCCAACTTTTTTCCGCGGTCACCCCTGGTTATTATCTAACTTTCTCAGGTGTCTTTCCTAGTGCCACTTAAGCTGGATTTCGGCAATGCAAAGATATTTCTTGCAACCATTTCTGCTGTCATGATCTCCCCTTGTTAGCACCCTCTTGCTCCAAAACCCACCCCAAATGTTGATCTTTGCCTTTGCTGGCTTCGATAAGACAGTAATTGTCCCCCCACTAAGTTTTTTCATGTCATCTTTTTTTTTTTTTTACTTTTCCTATGAGCATTGGTGAGAAGAGCAAGGCAATAGCAATCACCTAAACTCAAATCAATACCAGAACTGCGGTCTTACCTAAACAAAATGCTTTTCACTGAGATCTGTCCGCCGGGTCCAAGTGCCGTGACATGTATTATCTACAACACTGTGGTCCCGATGTATGGAGTGACGAAAAACTTTCCTATCTGCTTTCTCCAAGAGATTTAGTTTACAGAGCTGGTTGTCTCTCTGTATTAGTTTGTTTGAGTAGGTTGCCACTTTCAGAACCTCCAACAGCTGCATTTCAGAGACCACTTATTCCTGCCGTTATTAGCGGGAATGATACTGTCTGTTCATACGTGTGTTTGCTTTGACAGCGAGAATTCAGAGGTGTTATAAACCCCCTCAGACAAACTCGGCACATACTCCGACTGCCTGGTGATAATCTCTCACCGCCACCATCACTTCACAACTGCTGTTGATGGCCCCATGGCTAAGAGGGATGCCTTCATCCCGTAAAATATATGAATACATGAAGAAAGGCACCAGTTCTTTTCAAAATGTTATGATAACTTTTCTCACAAGTAGGTCCTCTATTAACTTCCACGACTTTTTTCTTCAATATTATTTCTTCCTAACGAGATTTGGGGCCAAAAACCTCGGCAGCCATTGCATCCCTCTGGGATGTGGGCAGCACTTAGGACCAGCTGAACACGACCAGCTGGAAATTTCCCCTCCTGAAGTCACTCTGCCTTTATCTGGCAGCAAACTCACCGAAGACCTACCTGATCCCATACTCACAGCTTACCTAAACGCCACCGGGTGCCCAGCTTTTCAGCAGAATTTATGTCTAGGCGGACGAGAGCATCATTTTCTGGCAGGTGTCTAAGGTAGTTTCAAAAGTAGGAAAAGAATCATCAGCTTGAGATATTATGAAGTCTGCCAGATTGTGTCTGTGTTATTGTTTTTACTCTCTGTCTTTATTCTGTTCATTAAATTTTAGTCACTCAGGAAATATATAAAAACGCAAGCTGTGCTCAAGCGTGCAACAATGCCAAAAATCCTCTAATGGATTTTAATTAGAATTAAAATTCATTATTTTAATAACGACTAATAAAGGAATGCAGAAAGCAAAACCTACAAAAAAAAAAAAAAGCTATTTTTTTTTAAATGTGTGTCTGTTTTAAATGTGAGTCTGTGTGGCTTCTTTCCCTTAAGATACCTGGGGTTTTTGTTATTGTGTCTGTGTTATTGTTTTTACTCTCTGTCTTTATTCTGTTCATTAAATTTTAGTCACTCAGGAAATATATAAAAACGCAAGCTGTGCTCAAGCGTGCAACAATGCCAAAAATCCTCTAATGGATTTTAATTAGAATTAAAATTCATTATTTTAATAACGACTAATAAAGGAATGCCAGAAAGCAAAACCTACAAAAAAAAAAAAAGCTATTTTTTTTTAAATGTGTGTCTGTTTTAAATGGGAGTCTGTGTGGCTTCTTTCCCTTAAGATACCTGGCGGTTTTTGGTCTTTAGCTCCCAAAAAGTTGTCCTGAGAATGAGAGAAGACACCCAAATTCATAAGCAGACCCTACGCTTGGCTGGGGCAGACCTTTCACCTCTGTAAACCAGCCGGTCTGCATGGGCTAACAGCAGCGCGCAGCTCCCTCCAGAGATGCTCCTAAGCCGTGCTTGAAGTTTAATTTCATTCCACCAAAATCCATGCAATTTCAACACTGCCTTGATGAGCACTGGATTGCTCAAAGGGAAAAGAAAAAACAAACGCTGAGGCGTGAAATGAATCGTTCAGTGGCGTTAGCACGCGGCGCACAGTCTGGTGCTCGTCACCACGGCCAGTCCCCTGGATTGGCGTGGGATTTCTCACTGTGCATCCCAGCCTGCAGGGCTCCAGAAAGAAATGCCAAGATGAAATTGGGAACAACATTTTCTGAGAAACGAAAAGCTAATTATGGGGTTGTAGTGGGGTTTGTTTTTTTCTTTTCCAGATCATTTATAGCTCCCTCGGTGCTTTTATTTAGCATACCAGCTGTTGAGTCTGAGCATGATTTAGCTGAATGCTCTCAGCTACAGGTGTAGACTTATTCATCTGACCATTCTCCACCCTGTTGCCAGGTACTCGAGGAAGCAATTTGTCTTGCTCCAAAATAAACATCCTAAATAGCTTATCTGAATATTGCCCAAAAGTCCCCACTTCTCCCAGTTGACTGCAGAGTTCAAGTTACTCCCTGGACCAGGAAAAAGTGGTGTCTATTGTCTACGCCCTGGCGATCCCCACGCTGAGCCCCCTGACCCACAGCCTGAGGAACACGGAGGTGAAGGATGCTCTGGAGAGACTCCTAGGAGGAGTTCTTGTTTCCTCCCGGCTTCAGACTGGTAAAAACATATGATCAGCTAAATGCAAATAACTCGGATGTTCTTGAGATTGCATCTCTGTTCTGCAGCTATAGTGATGAAAATAATGAGCACGCAACATGGAGAGCCATGAAAGCTCTGAAAATTCTCTTTCTGGGGTGCAGGGGGTAACTCAGGGGATCTCTGGGGGGTGCACAACTGTGCAGCAACATTTTGTTCGGTGCTAAGGCCATACTGAATAGCTGAACTACACACTTCAGGGACCGGGTCCTTAAGGAAACGCAGAATAAGGCGATGGATAAATATCCCCAGCCACACGCCACGGGCGGTGCTGGGACAGGCGAGGCCATACCTGCTTGCTCTGCCCTGTGAGATGAGCCGGTGTGGGGATGTCACACAGAGAGCGTCATCGCGCTTTGTTCTCGTGATCTCTAAACTTGTGACCCCGTCAGCGCTTGCTGGACAAGACCATAGGTAAGTATTTCTGGGCAAAAAGGGCCAACAAGGGATACGGTGTCACGGATAGCCAGGACGATAAATCTTCAAGGGGACCAGGAAGATAAATCTTCAAAGGGATTTGTTTTTCTTTCCTTTGTCTCCTCATCTCTCTGCCCATCCCTTGTGTTACCTGATGACAAACATTAGACTCAACACACGAGGACAGATGAGAAAATCATCAAGCCCACTGCAGCACCTCTGAGAAGCAGCCAGCACCGGGGGCACCTGGAGAGGGTCTTCACAAACCTGGTTGGGGCACGGGGAAAGTTGCAAGGAAGCAGCAGGACACAGCTCATGCTCTGGTCTCCCAGTGGAAGAGCCTATCGCTTTCACTGGTTATGAAAGAGCTTAAATAATTAGTTTTTAGACTGACGATGTCAGGTGAGATGAATTCCAACTTCTGTAGATGCAAGCGTGCCTGCACTCAGGTGTACGAACACATGCGCACGCGAATGACTGCTGCTTTCAGTAATTTTCCCCAAAAATAGAGGTCTTCCCAGATACACACATTTGTAATTATGACTTTTAGGGCGTACGTCCAACCATTTAATGTTTGCTCATGCAAAACAGAAAACTTAACGAGACAGTGCTTTTACTGGTACGACTCATGAAAACGAATCTAACGAAACCGTGTTGGTTTGTACCAGATGGCGAATCTACATGCATTTGTCTTCAACGTGTGTCTCCAGCTTCGCCATACGTACTTCAAATTAAGGAGTCTCAATGTACGAGTAATTTAATGCAACACTGAGACTGAGATTTCACATTCGTAACAGCCAGGGAATGCACAGTCAGCAAATACCTACAGAGATACATGTATACATACGGACATGCATGTACCCACCCATATTTTCATATCCTGTTTCCTGTATATATTTTATTAAGACTCTAATGCATCATATGCAATATATAGAAACTGCTTGTGTGCGTACCCATACGCATAGCACCACGCACAGTGTGTCTGTGCACGCACGGTCACGGCAAACGCAGCTTGCAAAGTGATGCAAAAGCCAAACCTTTATTTGACATAAAATAGCGCAGCCAAAATCATAACGGCGCGGCCCTTCTCACTACAAAATTTACTCTGCTTTTTCCTTTTGCGTGTGTGTGTGTGTGGAGCTGCGTTTTGGTACAGAGAGCAATGACAGCAACATGGAAGCCCTTCTCTTAGCCGGTGTCCCCAGACCCCACATTGCAAATATCAAATAGCCGCCGTGATCCATGTCTCCAGGTCAGTCCCTTTCCCCTGTCCATGGAAGAGAGGAACCACAGGTCGGTCACCAGCTTCACCCTCCTGCGGTTCACCACTGACCCGAAGCTGCAGCTTCTGTTGTTCATGGTGTTCACCTTAGCCTACGTCACCACCCTCGTGAGCAACATCACCCTCATCATGGTGATATGCCGTAGCTCACGGCTCCATACCCCAATGTACTTCTTCGTTGGGAACTTGTCCTTCCCGTGTCTCTGGTATTCCTCCGTCTACACCCCCAAGACCCTGCTGAACTGTGTCTCCGAGGACAAGAGCATCTCCTTCGCTGGGTGTGCTGCTCAGTTCTTCGTCTCCGGTGGCTTGGCCGAGGGGGCAGAGCAAAGCCTTCTCCACCTGCGCCACCCACCTCACCGCCGTCACCCTCTACTACGGCTCCATCCTCTTCATTTACACCCGGCCCAGCTCCACCTACGTCCTGGGGAGGGACAAGGTGGTCTCTGTGTTTTACACAGGGATGATCCCCACGCTGAGCCCCTTCATCTACAGCCTGAGGAACCAGGAGGTGAAGGAGGCACTGAAGAGACTGGTGAAGAGACAGACAGCTTCTTAACAGAAGAAAACTAGGGATTACGTCCCCAAAGATGCATACAGCAAGAAGTGTACCTGACTTTTCTTGCTTGTGTTTTCATTTGTTGCTTTTTGCAATAGGTGCAGGAGGATGCAACGCAGGAGCATGAGCTCTTCTGATCCTGAAGTGCTTCCTGATGGACAGGAGACGTCACTGTGCAGACAGACCTCCTCTCCTTCCCACCTCTCCCCATATATAATGTATATCTGCTATAAAATGGGATCTTAGCAGTGGCTGATGTTGTACATCCTCTTCTTCACCCTGTGCTTTATCTGGATTAAATATTCCTTACTTATGCCCAAACCAGTAGCTCAGGTGGAGCTCCATGTGTCATGACGTAACATGCCTCTGCTCCTGAGCTCTCCCAGTTATTTCTTCACGATGCTGTATTGCACCACGTCATAAACATACTTTTCATAGTCCTAGACTATTTTCCCAGTGAAACGTTCACACCAGTGTGGATAGGGTGGGTCAGATTGGAAGAACCAACGTCAAGAAGCACAAAGGCATCTGGGATTGAGTTCAGTTGCCTGCACGTAGGCTGTTAACACCCTGGAGATGCCTCCGGGTCTCCCTCTGAACTTTCAGATGTCGCTCCAGAATGGCCCAACTCTTCTGAAGGTTGCATGGCATACGTGTCAAGTGCATGCCAATGTCCTCGGCACCTCAGGACAGAGCAAATGGCACCGGATTTCTACATGAGGGTGACGAAACCCGGACCTGGCCTGAGGAATTTCACTGCATCCTACTCCTTTCCTGCAAAAGTTTCCAGCACCACCTGTAGGAAACCATGCAAAAAAGGTGAAGCAGTTTCTTAGTTATTAAAGTATCTTTTTTTCCTTTATAAAGTTTTACTCCAACTGAAAGTTGGACTAAAAAAACCCCAGAAATAAAGACTTGTGGGAGGAGGGATTAGGTGGACCGAAATAGATTCATCTCCTTCAAATTTAGAGAAATAAATTGAGTGATTGAGACTGGTGGGAGGAGGGATTAGGTGGACCGAAATAGATTCATCTCCTTCAAATTTAGAGAAATAAAAGTTGAGTGATTAAGTCAGAGTTTCTTGTCTCCATTTGTGGTCAATAAAGGTATGTTTCTATTTTCCTAGCTTTTGTTCAGACAAAGAGTGCAGTTCAAAGAGTTTAAGTCTGAAGATCTCCCAGCTTTCTCCCCTCACCGTGTTTTCGTTTGCATCGCAGGCTGGGGTCAGGCTGCATAAGCTGGGTTCCTTTTGGGTGAAAACAAACTGAAAATGGGCTTGAGGGGGGCACCTAATGCACTTCCATCTCCAGCAGGTGTTCAGATCCCCGGACCAGAATAAATTTAATCCAGGGGAAACTATTCTGAAATGCCTATACCATAGACAGCAGGTCAGTCCTTTTGATGTTCAGACCTGCTCCTGTTGCACCACATCCATTTTAACCATCTGTCCTAGGATGTGCTAGAACATTCTCTTATTCCCACATATCTTAGAGGGGACCTGGCTGATTATCTCATGATTAGACAATGAATTTTTAGATGTTGAGAGCCAGGTGAGCCCATTCCTGTGCTTATGCTCCAGTCCCAAATTCGTAATGGTAGGAAAGTCACGTTTATGAAAATCAGTCAGACATGGAGGATGTATGTAGTGTACTTCAACTTGCCTCGCAGTTTAAGAATTACAAAAGACAAAAGCAAATCTATCCTAATGCAATTAATGACAAGAAATTCAAGGTGTGAGCTGTCTTTGAGGAGGTCCAAAGGTGAGGAGAAATGCAACGAGCTTCCCCGGCTCCCTCTGCTAGGGGGTCAAAAGCAGGCAGGGACAAATCACCCCCTTAGTGAGAACCGAGGGAACCACGTTATCTGCACACGTCATGAAGACAAGGATGTCTCTTTCTTTAATGAGAGTGTATGACCGGCTTATACCGGCACAGAAAGCCCTCCAGCAGGCCCTCCAGCAGGTCTGAGCTCCAGGCTCTCGCCATACATGTGCTTACAGCCATTTCCATCGTAAGTGATGCCGCTCCCCTTCCCAGAGCAAGAAGTGGTCCTTGGGGACCAACCACCCTTCCAGGAGTCATCAGCTTAACAAGACCTTCTGGGGTTTACCAAGAAAGTTTCCTAATCACCATGAAAGCTTCTCAGTGGGCTTGTAGTCAACTTACCTCATTCTTCTTAACAAGCCATGAGAGACTAATTAGAGAGGGCTAACAAGAAAGAAACTTTCTTCCTTGTTAACGACAAAGTGCACTTCTACAGCTGCCTTGCTTGTCAGAGCTAGTCCAGGCCCCAAAGCCGATGAGTTGGAAGGTCAGTGTGTTGGCATGTGACTATATTAAGGACAACCGTGTGGGCCTGGATGGATGGAGAGCAATGCTCCTCAAGGTTTCTCTGATTAAAGTACCTGCCCCTCATCCCTGAGGTTAAATTCCCACCTGCAGACTGAGGTCCTTCTTCCTTGGTGGGATGATGCAGTGACCCAGCAGCACCCTGAGCTCCTTGCTGAGGAGGTGTGGCGTTGTCCTTGGTGGGAGCACTGGTTGTGGTGGGAGCTTCTTCCATGCCAGTCTTGGGTCTGCTCAGGATCACTTCTAAATGTTTCTACCCCGTATTTGTTCCTGGTCAGCACTCTTTTCTCTCCTATTGGTCTACGGGGTTAGCTACACTACAGTTGCTAAAGTTTGTTAATCGTTCCCCTGTACCTCATGATTTATTTTAGAGGGGAAATCACACAATTGCTCAAAACTAAGCAAAAGCAGTTAATAATAATATCACCAAAATAAGACCGAAATGCCAGGATAGGGAGCAGGTACCTGACTAATTTTACCATTACTCATAGGAGATGCCAGATGACAGCTCTCCGGTCCTTGAGCAAGTTGCAGGCACCGCAGAAGTTTCTCAAATAAATTTGAAAATACAGCTACAGTTGAGCTAAAATAAGTTGCAGAAAAGGCCTGACGAGCCTTGTTGCAGTGAATTGTTGTTACGAAGCCCAGTGTCTATTGCTAGTACTGGGAGCACTAAATTACCCGAGTCTGGTGTTCACCAGAAGTGTGCCCATTATTTGATACGAAGAGAGCTCTGGTCATCATTGTCATGCTGAAAGCAATAGATGGTATCTGTTGTCGTTGCTCAAGACAACAGCGGTAATGCATTCTCAAACTACAAAGGGTCAGAAGGGCTTAAATTCCTGAAATTAAAATAATATCAGGCTGTAACCACAAATAAAAGTAGCTAACGCATCCCTGAGACAGGTCAGTGAACGGCCTAATCCAAGAGGAGTTAATGACCCAGAATTTAGGAACAAGGCAAAGGTTTCCCAATGCATTTGTCCCCGGTAGCTCACAGGAGAGCACTGCTTCTTTTATACCATAGCAGTACAGAAATAGAAAGTGCAAACATTTCTGAGAAGACCACTCAATTCCTCTGACGCACCAGGGAAAACTATTTTTCAGATGAACGTTTCCTCTCCATCACTCTCCCCAGCACATTCTTCACCTCCTTGTTCCTCAGGCTGTAGATGAGGGGGTTCAGCGTGGGGGTCACCACACTGTAAAACAGAGACGCCACTTTGTCGAGGTCCTGGGAGTGCCTGGAGCTGGGTCATGAGTACATGGACGCAGCAGATCCGTAGAAGAGGGTCACAGCAGTCAGGCGGGACGCGCACGTGGAGAAGGCTTTGTGTTTGCCCGCGGCCGAGCGCATCCTCAGGATGGTGGCCAGGAGGTAGGTGTAAGAGATGAGTGTGGTCAGGTTGGTGACAAACAGGTTGAAGCCAACCACAATGAACATCATAATCTCATTGACGGTGGGGTCCGTGCAAGAGATGGCGTAAAGCGGGGGTCCCTCACAGTAAAAGTGGTTGATGATGTTGGGACCACAGAAGGACAGCCAAAGTGCAAACCCCGTGTGGATAGTGGCATTCACGATCCCAGCGAGGTCCGAGCCAGCTACTAGCAGCGCACAAACTCTGTTGGACGTGGAGATGGCATAGAGCAGTGGGCTGCAGAAGGCCATGTAGCGGTCGTACACCATCACAGCCAGGAGGTAGCACTCGGCGGTGGCAAAGACAGCATAGAAATAAAATTGTGCGAGGCACGCAGAGTGAGAAATGACCTTCCTTTCTGCTAGGAGATCCGAGAGCAGTCTGGGGGTGATTGAGGAGGAATAGCGGATGTCTAGGAAGGACAGGCTGCTCAGGAAGAAGTCATGGGGGTGTGAAGCTGGGCATCCAGCCTGATTAACATGAGCATCCCCAGATTCCCCAGCAGAGTGATCACGTAGATCACCAAGAAGACCATGAAGAGGACAGCCTGGCCATCCCCCTGCTCTGAGAACCCCGAGAGAACAAATTCAGCACTGGGGGTGTGATTTCTTTTGACCATCATCGTAACACAGTTGCTGTGGGAAAGCAGAGATGCAGAGAAACACAGAGTCAGCATATTCCTGTTTTCCTCACAAACAAATGTTAAAGATGCCTTTATTTTTATCGGGAAATACAAATTTCAGAGGCAGGAACTGTTGAACAACATATTCAGTGTTTGTCTCAAAATACATGTTAAAGTAAACGAAGTGCATGATTGAATTCATTTCTAATGGTTTTATTCTGGTCTAGTCACTACTGATTTGGTTTGATAAAGTCACTTTGCAAATCGGAAAGCTTATTCTACCACAGCAATTTACTCTGACGTTAGAAATCAGCCTGCATTTAAAAAAAAACAAACCAAAACAACAACAACAACCAACCCTCGTTTCAGAAGATCGAAAGAGAGAAAGCACTAGTGAGAGATCAAGACATTTTTTAAATAATTTCCTTTAGGAGAGTCAGAACAAGTTAAAATAAAACTCTAATTTCTTCCCTTCCTTCCTATGAAACTCTGAAATTAAGTTTGAAACAGGAGATTTAGTGTAAATATTAACCCCCCTTTAAATATGGTGATATCCATATCATTCTTGTGATGCCTCTGAATTAAGACAGTGGAAAGAACTGCAAAAGGTTG